TTTCTTAGTACTCGAAATCTACATTGTTTGTCAAAAGATGTTCTCGGTCAGGAATTGCCCGGAGGGCCTTAAGAATTTATAGATGGTTTCTTGGGCATAATTGGTCGCATATAATTACTAGATTCTATAGGTCTGAAGAATACAAACCTAGAATATGCATCATAGTGTCATAGTCGGATATTCGAAGTCAAACTTTGATGTATAATTGGGTTCCATAAAGTAGAGCTACAAGTCTGACGTTCAAAGGAGAACTAAGGCTCCGGTACCTATAATGGTACCAGCTACAACAGCGTAGCCGCTCCTCGTGACCGCAGCATTGTTCAACACTGTTAGCAAGTCAGAACTGGGTACAATCCGAGATAGAAAAGGTGACTTACATCTCGTAGTGTCCCATGTGAGATGTCGCAAGCCATTCAATGAATGATAGACGAAGGGAGCAGCAGCTATTGTTTTCCCTGTATATTTAGCCCACTCTGGAAGGGAATGCACGAAGTCGATGATGTGAGCAGAGTCAATTGGGGCTCCGACCACAGGACCGGCAAGGTAGGACAAGAAAAATGCATATAAACCTAGGATTACACTTCAGCAAGCCACGTTCTCGTACCTTTTCAGGATAAACTACTGACCAACACTAAGGCCAACGCCAGTTATACGGTGGACAATACTGCCATACCATGTTATCTGAGGCTCGTAAATCATAAAGTGAGGGCTTGAAGGGCGATTTAAACGCTGCATATCGAGGATTGTACGGGCATCTTCTGGTTTGATGGACTCGGTCTTGATTTCCCGGTTGGCTGCAATTCGACGTCAGACCAATTGGGTGCATAGGAGAACACAACTAGTTCGCACTCATCCTGAAGGCCGTCAGAGACGCCTTGGAAAGCCTAGAGGTGGTCCGCAGACCGACTGAGCGAACTGCGAGCATCGTGGTAGGAAGTCAAGTTTTTACGCATTCACGTGCGGCTGAGGGCACAATGGAACGGTCAACTTGTCCAGCAAGCGGATAGGACCCCTTTTTCCAAAATATCCAAATACACCGGGATTTAATCTTTAATTATTTTGCTGATATCTAAATGCCACCAACTTTGCGACGATGGGCGGAACTCCGATCGTTGCTTAGTCCGAAAACTTACCAGCGTTCTAGAACAACTCCCAAAATGCTTTTTGCCCTCCTACACACTCAGGGCAATCCATCTCTCCCAACTTTTCATTACGAGAAGTCTCTTCCGAGACTACCACTACCACCGTTACGACAAACACTAGACAAGTATCTACAGTCCTTGGAGCCATTCTTCCTGCATGAAGAACAACTAGGTGGTGAACTTGCATCAGAGTCACGATTACGTCGGCAAGCCTGGGCACAAACATTCGAAACTGGGGTTGGGGCACAATGCCAACAGCGTTTACAAAGTAGGCAATTGATTTAGCCTTCTCAAAACTTGATCATTGATCAAAATTGTTGCAGAGCTGGAGGAAAGTTCGCCGTACAATTGGTTCGACGATAATTTTTGGTTGCGGAAGGCGTATTTGGAAAACCGTCAGCCTTTGCTCATAAATTCAAACTGGTGGCTGGCTCTGCAGGACGATCCTTTTGCCCCAGAATTTGTCAGAACGTCCTTGACTTGATTGGATCGTCCATATCCTTGCATACTATGGTTTAAGATAGAAGTCTTCAAGATAGTGATACACTCAC